TTCATTAGGGATTTCACGGCCGCAACTGGACCGACCCTATGGTTAACATTTCACCTTGATTTTGCATTTTTCCTTTATTTCCCTTCTTTTCCAAAGATCTCAGGCAACAGATGGGGAAGGGAAGTATTAATTTGCAGAGAAGCAGCTCATTACACAGACATTTTAAGTAATACCCAAATCCTTGTGCAAACATGGATCATGAGTTGAGATTTTAATGAGAATGAATGCTGTCAAAGTAGGATTTCAAGTATTCTAAAGTTAAATGCTAAAAGTGTTTTGTTTCCAGTGATGAAAGAACTAGTTTTGAATTAAAATGTAACTTCAAATACAAAGTAGTCAAGATTCTATCTGTGCCTTTCAACCCTTTGTTCCTATGAATTAAAAGTAGTCCAATTAGCCAGGTTAGAATGACCAACAGAATATCAGTCAACAACACTTAGACCACCTTTGTGTCCATATAAAGCTTATACAAGTTTCTACACTCAAACACACTTTTTAAAACTTTGTAAGATGATAATAGTAACATACATAGGGAACTATAACCCTGAAGTCTAGAAATTGGCAATGTCTTTCAATGCTCTTTTGTGAGTGTTAAAGTTACAATTTAAAAGTAAAGGTATGTCATCACTTGAAATGATACATAATCACATCTGTGCATATACCAAATTCATATACACAAGGAGAGAATAGATGGTGATGATTTCACATTACCAATGATAGGCCATTAAATGTCTGTAAATAACTAGTTCATCTATGACAGAATATGGCTTCTTCCTAAAATCATGTACACTTTGTAACTTTCTTTTTAATTAACAAATTGTATTGAAAACATTACTGCCAATAGCATCACATTGAGTTCTATCTTTCCAAAGATGCCAAAACACTGCCACATGTTATTTTTTTCCATCCATTCTTTCTCTGGGGTTGGTGGTTTAATGCCTCTTTACCACAATGTTGCTTCTTTTTAGTAATGGGGAAACTGAGGGATTAATATAGACTTGTCAGCAGTCAGAAAACAAGTCCATAGCAAAACTGGAGCTTACTCTGGATCTCAAGTTCTCTCCAATTAGGCAACACAGATTTCTTTTATCCCAAATGGTGACATATAATGTTTAAAAAAAAAAAAAGGAATATACTCATTAATAGATTTTCTATTGAAGTTGGCCTACACTGCAGCATTTAAGCTAGATTTCAAAACCACAGAACTAATGTTTTAGATTCTAAGTTAAGTTCCATAATAAAAGAAAAAAAGCTTTAATAGGACATTGTATTTATTATTAGTTCAAAATTCACCCTTTTCTTCCACCAAATTGCTCTATTTTGCCTGAACTTCAAAGGTCTTTGGAACTCAAGGAAATCTTCACTATTAAAAAAAAGACATCATTGTTTGATAGCATATTGAACTCTAGAAGAGTAGCTAATAGAACTTTTCATACATGTGAAAATTTTACACACTTCATTCTTAAAGTTTGTACATCTCAATCAGATTATGTTTTTCTTTATAAGAGTATTCATGGAATTTCATTAGCCTTAGTCCTCTTTTGTTACCTTCTTTTCCCCCTTTTTGGATAATATTACACAACGACTTCACTGCAGGGGGTTATTAATAAGATATTGTTCCAGAAATGGAACCCCAGGTAAAACATAGTAATAAGTCCAGTACTACTTGTTCAGACAACTGGTATTTATTTCCAGCAAACGCTTTTTGGAACCTGAAAACTAGTCCTCCACTTTGTATTTTTCTAACAATTTAGTGATAAAAATATAGAAAATAAACATGTTATTTATAAATCCCAGAAAAATTTGTTGGCTGGGATACAAGCTGTCCGATTCCTAATGCACACAAGGGAACGCTCAATAAATGTCACCACCTGACTGACAGTACTAATTCTAAAGGTTACTTCTCTTAACCTAGACAGTTGCTTCATTTCTACTGAAAATATGATTTTCTTTACTCTATCCTAGAGTGTTTGGATTAATGTACCGTTACTAATTTAAATATGATACGCATTCATTGGAAGAAAAAAAAAAAAAGGTTTTCTTGAGTATTTCTGTAGTTTACATTCCAGGATGTTGTGACTATGAAACAGTTTGCCATCTGGTAACTGATATGGTTAGATGATAACCTAGAAGAATTTGGGGATAGGATGCTCTCAAATGATGAAAAGATCTTGCTGCCATAGTTGTTTCTTGCTTTGTTTTGTTTTGTCTTTTTCCAATCAGCTGAAACAGTCCTTAGTTTCTAAGTCATTTTTCCCCCTGCATTGCTCTTCCTAAATATGTTTCTCATACATTGCTTCAAATTAAATCTTTGAGGGAAGAAGAAAGTGTAGAACAGTCAAGTTGGAGGTCCTTGAGCAGTAACCAAGGATTCCCACAGTTTCCACCTAAAGTTTCTGGGTGCAGGCAGGAAGCCAGGATAGTTGCAGTAAGACCCCTAGTCTTGAGGTATGGAACTCCAGGGATCTCCCCAGTTCCAGTGTGTTAGACTACAGAGTTACAAGTTACTTATTATGAACTCTCCACACATACATGCATGTACATCCTGCTTTCTATCATTTTAATTAGTTACGTGACAGCTTTTAATTTTTTGTGGAACAACCAGAAATTACATAGCTTTTTGTAGTTATATGATTTTTTGCTCTCTATAAAATGATTTCAAACTTATTTGCAACAACCAGAATTCTTATCATTTCTTAATAGAAGTTTTATGCAATAAGTTCCTTACGGTTTTTTTTTGTTTGTTTGTTTGTTTTTTGCGGTACGCGGGCCTCTCACTGTTGTGGCCTCTCCCGTTGCGGAGCACAGGCTCCGGACGCGCAGGCTCAGCGGCCATGGCTCACGGGCCCAGCCGCTCCGCGGCACGTGGGATCTTCCCGGACCGGGGCACGAACCCGTGTCCGCTGCATCGGCAGGCGGACTCTCAACCACTGCGCCACCAGGGAAGCCCAGTTCCTTACGTTTTTAAAGAGCAAATGTATAAAAGAAGCTAGGGCCTTTAAAGCTTTTGGAAAACTTACTTTCAAGAGAACTATTTTATTAGTTTAAACACACACAAATCCTTAAACAGATAAATAAAACATTTTAACTTTATAAATCTTATTTTTTTGCTAGTTGTCTTTTAACATCTTTAACCCCATCCTTACCAGAAATATAGCCCATTACTGATGTCTTCTAAATTATCTTTGTCATCATTTTCATTTCATAATAAATTCTTTACATGTTCTTTAAGGAGAAACGGTCTTACAGATTACTTTAAGATGATTCCTTTAAATGTGCAATTTAAGAGTGTCATAACAAGTAATCAAGAAGTTGATGTTATAAAATAATGTAATGGGACAAGCAGGCATACAATACTTATTTTTCCAAAAGCCGCACAGTCAACATCACCCAATGGTCACCCCTTTTAACAATCTGGGAAATTAATCCAAAATGAAATTAAGTTTTTATAAATTCATATTGGATGTAACCAGTTGATCTACCTTACTGATGGAAAACTGTCTCTAACAATTACTGAAATTACAGATTTAGAACTGAAACATCCCATTAGCTATCTCTGCCACAATAGCAGCATAATGTTACACTTGGTTACTTTACTCTCTCCCACCCCCTTAAGAAACAGGGATGTTATTATGTGTTCTTATTTCACATCCTGACCTCAGTCACTTGGGTATGGAGGACATGGGTTCTACTAAAGTTAAACGACAAATCTCTGTATATTATTTACAACTAAGGACCTGAAAAATTCTCTGTAAATTTTAATTATCAAAACATCCTTTGGGATAAAAAGTATTTCTATTCTTCAAAGATTAGAGAACTGAGTACAGTGATTAACTGATTGATGTCACTCATCATGGTATGACTGCTAAAGCTGTAATAGATATGAAATTTTGAATTCCATCAAGACATTTTAGATTTTACCTAAATGATGTATTAGTATGTCAAAGTTCAAGAGCCGCCTTCCTCTCTTTTTTTTTAACTGTTTAAAAGAATGGCCTTAACATTTTCTTTCACCAGAAGGCAACTAAATGATAAATTCTCCAGTACTTTCATAGCTGATTTCAGGACAGGAAAGGGTGCTAACTTGTTCTGATTGTTCATGGCCCAGTCCAAAACATCTAACACTCTGGCTCCAACTAGGAGTTTTAGAATAAACAAAAGAAAGAGCTACAACTATCTAACGCAGTAGGTTCTACATTTATGGAGCCCGTAAGCTGATTTCACGCTGAAAGTAAAAACAATCTCAAGATGTTTAAATGAACTCTTCGATGCTGGAATCACAACAAACTCAGGAAAATTAGGAATATGTTGGTAACCTCCAATCTTTTTTTAAACTGACCTCACCCTGGGCAAGAAACCATCTCCTGATGCCATTGTTGGAGACAGAATTTCTGGCTATAAGATCCTTTTTCTGACTCAATCTGGCTTGCTATTCTTGGTTAATCATCCCCATTCCTCTCAACGTTTCACTCTCTGACTATAGTAGATAACATTTATTATCAGGAAAGACTTTTTTAAGTGATTCGGTTCCTCCAGCCGTCTCCCTCCTTATCCTAGTTAACCCCCCCCCCACAACCCCCATTCCTATCGCCTTGTTTCACTAAGATTTTGCTAAACATTAGACACAGCAAGCACATGACCTCCAGTCTTGCAGTGTCTCGGAATAAACCGATATAAAAACATTCGATTGGCGCGGCTGTAAGTTTTTCTAGGCTTGGAGTTTAAGAGTCTTTAGTTCTTCAACTCTTAAAGACCTATAGCGCAAAACTTAAATTTAAAAAATTTTTAAATTAAAAAAAACCGCTCCCCTTTTTTAACCTTTAGCCCCGCCCATCGCCCCCCCAGCCTCCACACGAAACTGCAGGAAACCGGAGGGGGCGGGGCGGTGACGTCACGACGCCGGTGCGTCACGGAACGGCGGCGGCTGCGGCGCTGGCGACGGCTGCGGCAGCGGCGGCCTTTTAGTCGGCAGCGGCGGCGGTAGCCGGGCAGCTGCTCCTCCCAGCATCCCTGGCGCGGCCATTTCAGCCCCATCTTGGCTGAGGGGAGGGAGCTGCAGCCGCCGCTTCAGCAGTTTGAATTTCAGTTTCTCCAGAGCCTGCGAACCGGTCGCACCGAGGAGGAGCCGAAGAAGCTACCGCCGCTACCTCACACAGCTAGAGCGCCGCCGCTTGCCGGCCCGCCGGCCGCCGCCCCTCATTCTCTCAAGAGCCGCGAGGGGAGGCCGAGACCGCCGCCGCCGCCCGCCCGCGGGGGTGGCTCCCCCTGTAAGGGGAGGACCGAGCCGGCTTTCCCCTCCCCCGGAGCGGGTTTCCGCCAGAGACAGTCGACATGTCCCTGGGGCTGAGCTCCGGCTAGAGCCGGGGAGGGAGGGCAGCCCGGCCGCACCGAAGCTCCGCCGCCCGCCCGCGGCTCCTGGCTGAATCAGGAATTCCCGGCTCCGGACTCGCCACTCCTCCTTCTTCCCTCTCGGCGTCCGAGAGCCCGGAGCTGACGCCGGCACTGGCTCGAGGAGCGGGACAGCACCGCCCCTCACGCCGCCGCCGCCTCCTCCCCTTCGCCCTCCCACTCCCACCCCCAGCCTAGGCCTGCTGACCGCGCGGAGCGCCGAGCTGGACTGACCACGGCGGCCCGGAGACGCGAGGAGGAAGCAGCCGGCCCGCCCCTGGGATCGCGCTTTCGCTGCCACTGGGGGTATTGAATTGAGGCACCGCGACTGCGGGAGGCGAGAAGGAAGGAGGAGCCGCCGCGCGAGTGAGACGGGGGCAGAGCCGAAGAGACCGACACGGAGAAGGAAACGGGAGGAGGATGTCTCGCGGAGCGGCCGACGCACGGATCAACCCGTGACTCTTAGAGCGGCGGGCCTCAGACCCCAGCGCGGACGCGGACTTTGTCTTTGGGGGCCCTGCTCTACCCTTCCTGGTTTCCGGCAAGATCGCAGAGGAGCCGGTGTGCCTCTCTGCCCTCCAGCCTTCTTCACCATGTCCAAGATGCCGGCCAAGAAGAAGAGCTGCTTCCAGATCACCAGTGTCACCACAGCACAGGTGGCCACTAGCATCACCGAGGACACCGAGAGCCTGGACGATCCGGACGAGTCACGCACAGAGGACGTCTCCTCCGAGATATTCGACGTTTCTCGGGCCACGGATTACGGCCCCGAGGAGGTCTGCGAGCGCAGCTCCTCCGAAGAGACGCTCAACAATGTTGGGGATGCGGAGACTCCCGGTACCGTCTCCCCCAACCTCGTCCTGGACGGGCAGCTGGCGGCCGCGGCGGCCACTCCCGCCAACGGAGGAGGAGCCGCTTCGGCCCGCAGCGTGGCTGGGGTACTGGCCAGTACCCTAGCGGCGGCCGCCACCTCGGCCCCCTCCTCAGGGGCCCCCGGAGCCCCCCCGGTCGCGGGCCCCTCCGCCGGGCCGGGAACTGCCGCCCCCTCGCAGCCCCCCACCACTTGTAGTTCCCGTTTCCGCGTGATCAAGCTGGACCACGGCAGCGGGGAGCCGTATAGACGCGGCCGATGGACGTGCATGGAATACTATGAGCGGGATTCCGACAGCAGCGTCCTGACCCGGTCCGGGGATTGCATTAGGCACAGCAATACTTTTGATCAGACTGCAGATCGGGACAGCGGCCTGGGCGCCACCGGAGGGTCCGTGGTGGTGGTGGTGGCCTCCATGCCGGGGGCGCACGGGCCCGACTCGGGAACTGACAGTTCCTTGACTGCTGTGTCACAGCTACCCCCGTCGGAGAAAATGAGCCAGCCCGCCCCGGCCCCGCCGCAGAGTTTTGGCGTTGGGCAGCCGCAGCCGCAGCCGCCGCCCGTAGGTGGGGCTGTGGCTCCGAGCTCGGCTCCGCTGCCGCCGTTCCCGGGAGCCGCGGCCGGGCCGCCGCAGATGATGGTAGCCCCGCCGCCCAGCCAGCCCCCGGGCGCCGCGCCTGGCTCCGTCCCACCGGGGCCCAACGGACAGGCGCTGCCGCTGACGAATGTAACCCTGGTGCAGCCCGGCCTGGCCCTGCCTCCGCAGCCCGGCCCGGCCGTGGGCGCTTCTGCCGCGCCGCCGCCCCAGCAGTTCGCGTATCCCCAGGCTCAGATTCCGCCGGGCCATCTGCTGCCCGTCCAGCCCGCCGGCCAGAGTGAGTACCTGCAGCCGCACGTGGCCGGCCTGCAGCCGCCCAGCCCGGCGCAGCCCTCGTCCGCGGGCGCCGGAGCGGGCCCCGCCGCGGTAGCCGGCCTCCCCGGGGGCCCCAGCCAGAACGCCTCCTCCACGGGCGCGCAGATGATGGGCGCGGCCTCCCTGCCTGGCGAAGCCGTGGCCCCGGGGCCGGGCCCAGCGCAGGGCGGACCGGCCGCGCCCGGTCAGCCGGCCGGAGTGCCCCCGGCTGCCGTGGGAGGCTCGGCGCCGTCGGGCCTGGTTCCCGCCGGGGCCGGGCAGCCTCAGCCCGCGCCTCCGCCGCAGATGGGTGGCAGCGGCGCGCCATCGGCAGTGCCCGGCGGCCCTCACGCCGTGGTGCCCGGAGTTCCGAACGTGCCTGCTGCCGCGCCCGTTCCCAGCGTGCCTAGTGTGTCTACCACTTCTGTTACTATGCCAAATGTACCCGCGCCCTTGGCCCAGGCGCAGCAGCTGGGCAGCCATCCTCCGGTCAGCAGGAGCGGCAGCATCATCCAGCACGTGGGGCTGCCCTTAGCGCCAGGCACGGCCAGTGCACCGACGAGTCTACCGCAGTCTGACCTAAGCCAGTTTCAGACTCAGACCCAGCCTTTAGTCGGGCAAGTTGACGATACTAGAAGAAAATCCGAATCCCTACCTCAACCACCACTTTCTCTCATTGCTGAAACTAAGCCTGTTGTGAAGCCTCCTGTTGCAGATGCCCTGGCAAACCCCCTTCAGTTAACACCTATGAACAGTCTCTCCACCTCTGTATTCAGCATAGCTATTCCTGTTGATGGTGATGAAGACAGGTATGGAAATCTTATTTGAAATATTTGATGGGAATGCTTGACCGGACATTGTAGTTTAGGATGCAACTGTGGGAGGTTCTTTTCTCAATTTGAGGCCCTTAATGTTTCTAAATATAAAAGTTAGTTTGTGTTTAGTAAAATTGATTCATTGGTTCTTGAAAAGACATTAAGTTTAGGTTACTGATGTTTAAAAAGATGTGTAAAGAGAGAATTGGTGTCACAGTTGTTTAGAAGCACTAAATTGGATAGGAATGCAACATTGTTCATTCAGAAGGGCGGATTTTAGTTTAATCCTCTCAATTTAGAAGTGGTGGCTAGTAGGTTATGCCGTGTAGGATTGTCCCTTTATTAGATATCAATCACACTTGAACACTTAATGGCAGAGTGTTTTGTCAGTGTGAGTTTTGAGACTGAGAGATAAAATTAGTTAAACATTTCCCATTCTGGAAAAACAGAAAGCCCTCTAGTAGAGAAAGAACCACGTAAGGTATCTCCTCCAGTGTATCTGGAAAGGCTGGAGAGATAATGGTGAAATGTCAAATCCGGCTTTGAAGATCATATCTTCTTCAGCCCTTTAATAAAAGAGGATAGAAGGTCAGGAGGCTTCCCAGTGACTTCTTTAAGATGCTTTTTTTTTTTTTAAGCAAAAAGTGTATTGGAAAGATGTTCTTATCTTCCATCAATCTTTTTACTACAGTCAAGGGAGGTAGGAGACTCTTGACAGTAGTGAAAGCTGTAGTTCTTGAAATTAGAGTAATTTTATAGTTAAAGTATAAACGTTAACAATTGGCTCCCTGTATTTAGGGGGGATGCTTTTAAATAGTTTAAGGGAAAATTGGTGTATTACTATACCAATTCTACTACAATTGATGTTTGGTTATGGTTTAATGAGGATTTTAAGTGGTTTTGAGGAAATGTCACATGAAAATTTGATGTAGTGTGTATAATGCAAATGTTTAAAAACTGACTTATTACCAGATATTACATTTTAAAATTACAGAGAAAGTTTCAGGTACTTTACAGTTGGAAATTTATTTTCTGAGGTTTTTGTTTTGAGAGAGGTTAATTTTAGATGTGTTGAAAGAGCAGAACTATTTTTATAGATTTCTTGAATAATTGGTATGTAGACTACAATGAGAGCTGTTAAAGCTTTTTCTTCCTATTTTCTTCTGAGTTCCTTCACATTCTTTTCTTTTTCATTTCGAATTAGCTTTGTATTTTTGTTATATACTTCTTTTGGTTTGAAAAATGCTCACTGAAATTCATCTTCTTTGCCTTTTGTAATTCAAAGTTCATCTTTTTTTGTAGGCGACTTGCTTGTGGGGAGTCTTTCTTCCATTTGAGAACTCTTAGAGAGTACCACGTGTCCATGAGTGAGCTCAGCTAGCTAGTTAGTCATGGAGAAATTTTATATGGATGGGACTACCAAGTAAAGACACTGATTCCACAAGCCACTCAAAAATCCCTCTTTACATTTTCTGCCATATTTCACTTTTCACACGTAGGGGCACACCTGAAATGCCACTTGAGTTTATTTGTTCGTCTTTGGTAATAGTCAACAGGCATCTTCCCTTTTCTAGCTGCCAGAGGCCAGTTTTTTTGTGATAGGTTGGTAAATAACCATTTGCTTACTACCTCTCTGTTCCTGTTGTACACTGTATCTCTTCAAGAAATGATGACTGGTTTTCTCAACCCCTCACTACCCCAAAAACACATGCACACCTATGAATGAAGAATGTGTTTTCTCTCCTCTTCACACCTCTCAGTTCACAGCATTTGTAATTACATTCCCCAGAACTTTTTGGTGGCGATATGGTATGAAGCAGAAAGATCTGTTGATAAATGGAAACTCTGGGATGTATTCTTTAGGGTATGACCTCAGAGATGCATTTATTTATTCTCTTACTTTATTGAAAAAGTTGAATTTCAAGAATCTCATTTACAAACTTGTGACTATTTGAACTACAGATACGACTGTATTAGTGTTCTTATCAATTGTAACAGTTAATCCAGTGCAGGGGTTTTCATTTGTGTATAGTCCTATTTTAAATGTGGCGCTTCCCTCCCCCACCCAGTCTTTTAAAATCTTCACTGCTTATCAAATGTGCATTTCTAATTTTTGTTATAGCCTTTTAATTGGTTTCTAATTTAACATGCCAGTTTCCAAGGTGTAATCTTATACATTTGACTGTTTTTGTCACTGGACCAACACACCTGGTGAAGGAATAAATCCATTAAGTAGAAATAGTTTGGGGGTCTTTTTAAATTTGTTTTTTAATGGAAAGCCTTTGTAAAAGAGAGGGCATTTTTAAAGTTGTATTCTTGAAATTAAGTAACACAGTTTTTCCAGGCGTATGTTTAAATTACTGAGATGACTACTTTTGAGGAGATAGTACTAACAAAATCGTGATTTTAGGTTGCCTTCTTAAATTAAAATCTTCGTACAATTTTATTTGCAGTCATTCAGATGTAAAATAAAACATTGGAGTGAGAGGTCTTGAGTAATTATTAATAGGTTGACAAATTTCAGATCCTTAGAAAATATTTGTAAAAAAAGATGTTTGCCTTTTTAAAAACCATTAAGACATTAGTAAACAGTCTATTTCGTTGAGAAAAGGAAGGAAAATGGAAGATTAACAAAAAGATCAGGTGGTTTAAGTTGATATATTAAGCACTCTGTCTTGTGATTTTGTTTGCATTACTTAATACAAGGATCTGTATTGGCTCATTCTGAGACCATTTATTTTAAAGAATCAGACCTTATATACTATCATACCTTTAAAAGGGCTGATGGTTGTATGTACAAAATAAGAAAAGTTAAATTTGTGAGTTAACATTGCCGATTGACCATATGTATTAATTAGCATGAAGTTTATATATCATTCTGGTTTATGGTCAGTTGTTGAGATTCTTCAAATTGATTCTGTGTAAACTGGAGGATATAACAATGGTTGAAAATATAGTTCATAAAAAATGCATAGACACTTTTACAGTGAACGTTACAAAATTTGTTTAAACTACCTACACGCTTAACAGACTCCTATTTGGTAAATAGGGGGAGGTGCAAAATATTACTGGCCCTTTTGGAAAAGGAACACGGTACAGATCATTTTCCATAGATAGCTGACCAATGTGAACTCTGTAGGCCACATGCCAGTAACTCTTATGAATGGCTGCAATTGTGAACTGTCAACTGCAACCAAAAGACTGTTGAAAACCTGATTGTAAGGATCCTCTAGTGGCAAATATCTTTATATCTTGTTAATAGTTTTATTTGTGTAGTTTGCTAATGACTGCTGATAAAATATTATAAATTGTGAGTGTTAAATGGTGTGTCTGGTATGTGCTATAAATATAGATTTTGTTTGTACACTTCATATATATCTATATAGATGTATGTATGAGATATACATATATACACACTTCTTTTAATGGAGTTTTTTTTTTTTTTAACGTGACATTTAAGAGAGGATTATGTAAATGTATATGAGGAGGCAGAACTGTCACTCTTAGTTTGTTTCAAAAATCTATAGGGAACTTCTTAGAACTCTGAAAAAGTCTTCTGCATTTAGTCTTTAAAAATGAAAGCTCCTTAACTTGAATCTGTGTTTCTTTGGGAGCTTATGGTTCTTTATCAGTATTGAAGTGTGGAGGTAATTTTGTCTTGCAGCTTTACAGTTGATGTTTAAATCACACGCCAGGTACCATCTTAGGCCTATCTAAGTAAGTAAGGATTTTGTAATCAAAGTGTAGTATCTCCTGTGTATGAGTGACATCATTATTTAGTATAAAAATGATACTGATGCATTCATCAGAGTGCCATGTTGATATGCTTTAGTCATAAACGTGGCTCTAAGTTAAGGAAATTATCACAGATTTCCAGAAAGGCCGATGATCCAAAAGTGCCTGAAATTCCTAAAACCAAGAGTTGTATATAAGTGGGAGCATGGCCTTTTTTATTCACAGTGATACACCATTGTTTAAAATTTTGTGTGAACTAAATTGTGTAGGCTTGAACATTGGTTAACTTTTTAGAAAATATAAGGGTTTTTATGTGTGTGGATAAGACACACTCCAAGTAACTTATTTATTAACACTGTCTTTTTCTTGTAAGGGATGGGGAGGGTATCTTGAACTAAATTGCCTTTATGAGAAGTCATTTTTGTTTTTTCACAGTACTGGTAGTGGGATATATGCTTTCTCCTTTATGAGAATAAATGTAATACCAATCTATTTGTTCTTTGAGAATTCTGATAGCACTAATTTGGAAATAATAAAACATGATACTGGATTTATGGATCTGGTACTTGGTAATTTAGAATAGAGTTTAGTCTTTCTCAGCACCAAAAGAGGTTGGAAGCAGTCATGCTCTATAGAGTCCTCTAGTAACAAAGAGCAGCCCCACCAATCAGATGGTAAAGAAACCAGTGAATCTCTTCCCTGAGGAATGGTTGATAGGGGAGTATAAAAGGGTCTTGACTTTTCTCTGCCGAAATGGTAGAAGCTGAGGCGCTGTGGGAGTAGGAAGTAATGGCAGGTAACCAACACAGAAGTAAAGGTAGTGAAATGACATGAAATATGGTCTCAGAAGGAATAGGAACACATGTTAATAGTGAGGAGTAGTGGTCTAATTCCTTCTTTTAATAATTGTTTTAGACCAGTATGTATTTCCTCTTCCAAACAGATACATTTATTTCTTAATTGCATTACTCTCGAAATACAAGAGAGGCTTTACAAAAACAGGTGTGTCTGGTTAAATGTAGCCTGAACCATGATGTTTCTAAGTAATTTTTTATTAATGGGAAGAGCAGATTTTTAATAAGAAATCTTAATTGATGACAATATTTAAGGGATCTGTGTAGCGAATTTCCTGAATTGGAATAAATCCTTTAAGTTTGTTTTTTCTTTATACTAAACCAGTAGACTTGTGATTTGAAGCTGTTCTTTTAAATGGTGTAATACGAATTACTGCATCACAAAGAATACGCATGCCTGAATCA